TTGATTGCTTTCAACTCTCTTTTTTGTTCATTTATTTTAAAATTCTGTCTCTTTTTTGGTATTAGGGAGCTGGAATACCTGATGAAGAGGAAAATAATTGGCCACTATGGTTAAAGCCATTGCTTAAAGAAAAATTCTTTGGTCATTGCAAATTACATGCTGATTCTCACAAGAGTGAATGCAATATGTATTGTCTTGATTGTATAAATGGTCCTCTTTGTTCTCTTTGTTTAGCACATCACAAAGGCCATATTGCCATTCAGGTATCTTCTTTTTCCTTAATAAAAAAATTGGGCTTTTTGTGTCAATTTGTAAGAAATTTAGTATTTGGTTTATTGTTTCCACACGCTTTAGTTCTCCCTGTTTAGCATCCACTAATGCTTGTATTATAATATATCATGTTCCTAGGTGTACGACCCTTCCCCAAACCCTATGTGAGTGCAAGATATTTTGTGTATCGAGCTGACTTTTTGCTACACAGTGTATACAATGGCAGAACTAGAAATTTTAACGAGGGTTTATAGCTACACATTGTATATGGTGACGAACCCAGAATTTCTAACAATGGGGTTCAAGAAAATGCTTAAGTGTCACACTTGAAGTTTGATCATGTTATTTTAAGCAATTTTTAACCTACCTTTACCGCTATACTAAAATCTTTTTTATGTAAAAAATATTCAAAATGTCAAAAAAAGTATATTTTTGTCCTACTTTTCAGTATAATTTTTCGACGAGTGATTCAATTGAACCCCTAAATTGTCATTTTACATAGTGTATAGCTATGATATCTCAAAGGATAAGTCTTGAAATTATGAATGATTGATTTTGAGTGCTCTGTTTTTGTTTGGTTGGACAGATAAGGAGGTCATCATACCATGATGTGATAAGGGTAAATGAAATTCAAAAGTATTTGGACATTTCTTCAGTCCAAACATACATTATCAACAGTGCTAAGGTTGTCTTTTTGAATGAAAGGCCACAACCTAGGCCAGGCAAAGGTGTAACAAATACTTGTCAAGTTTGTGAAAGGAGCCTTCTTGATTCCTTCAAATTCTGCTCTCTTGGTTGCAAGGTACATTACTGTTTACTTTTTCTAGTCGATATACATTGATTATACACAGTGATCAGGAGGTTATGGGTTCAAGCGTGGAAACAACCTCTTGCCGAAATGCAGGGTAAAGCTGCGTACAATAGATCCTTGTGGTCCGGCCCTTCACCGGATCCCGCGCATAACGGGAGCTTAGTTCACCGGTCTGCCTTTTATACACGGTTATGCACATATTATACATGGATTTTGCATATATTATACATCTAACTGCAATTTTTAGTTTAAACGTGTGGGTGAATGCTATTTAGGTTAATTGTTTTGAAAAAAATTCTCTTACAGTTTCATTAAATTGTACCATTTTTTTTCATCTTGACCAAATTTCCTTGCATTAATTTTGACTTTTAATGGCATTGAATTGAATTGGGCGTGTCCAAAAATCTTGAATTGCGTGTATTTCAAGGTATATTTTGGTTTAATGGTCGTTGATAGTGTGGTTTGACAAATGTGAAGCAATTAAATGGGGCGTGGAAATTTCACTCATATTTACTAGTCTATTGATAGGAAAACTTTGGCATAATCAACTTTTTTTAATTGGAAATTTCAAAGTTGTTAGACATTGTAATTATCAATGACTCTCTTGCATTTATTTAGTACCCCAAATGGAAATGACATTCAAATCTTGATTATTAGCAATCTTTGATATACAATAGATATTATGTGAATTATTGAATTGGTCCGAATAGAACATAACGAATATAGATGATTTATATAGTCGATTTCAACTTGATCATCGCAGGTTGTCGGGTCCTCAAAGAATTTCGTTAAGAAACCGAAGCAATTGTCGGTGAAAAGGCGGCGGTCGGTGGCGATGGCATCGGACTCCTCCGATGACTCTTACAGCAGCAGCAGCCATGGTAGGTACAAGAGCCACAACAACAAGGTCCAAAGTTTTACTCCGTCGACGCCCCCTCCAACTTCAGTTAATTACAAAATGGCCAAGCGAAGAAAGGGAATTCCACATAGATCCCCAATGGGAGGACTACTTATAGAATATTAAGTCCTTTTATACACCAAAAAATTAGCATAATTCCCCCACATATACCAAACACTTGTGCTTTTCTCCAAAGAAGGCTAGTGTTTGATAGCTTTGTCTATAAGAACAATATAATGTATATAGTGTTGGCAAGTTGAAAAGTTAGAGGGTGAGAGTTGAAATAAGAAAAAATGCAAGGACTAAATGGGATAAGTTAGAAGTTGGGATTAGATAATAATGCTATAGTATATAGGATGATGAAATATCAGATATGATGGCTCTTGGCTTTTAGAGTGGTTACATAGGTTTTGTGTGTTTGACTTTTTCTTTTTAAATTTTGTATCAAAATTGTAGATATACTGTAATATTGCCAGGATATTTTAACATTATGTCTATACATAGATGGTATTTTAGTATTGTAAATAATTTATAGTCTTTTTTTATTGTTCTGATTTTTGGAAGCATTCTTGTTATTGTAAAAAAAATTACTTGGTAACATTCCAATGTTACGTTAATAACAATAATAACATACCAATAAAATGTCAGAAGTGCGATTTGGTAAGGATAATGTATATGTATATTTTATCCCTACTTTGTAGTGGTAAAAAAAGTTATTTCCAATAGACTTTCGGCTCAAGGAAAATCCGGTAGTCAAGTCACATCCCAATGTTATTGTCATGATAGTCTGTCGGCTTGTGATGCTCTCCTTATTTTTTTTTCTTTTCAATTCAGAATATCTAATAGCTATTTCCTTCGTTTCAATTTAAATGACTGTATTTGATCATATATATTTTTTTTAAAAAGAAAGAATTTTGCAACTTGTAATTTTAAAAATACTACGTATTAGATTTATGTATTATAAGCTCAATTTTGAAACTTACTAGCAATCGACCATATATATATATATACTGTTTTATTGGTAATGTGTCAACATATGGATGGAATTTTAGCATTTTGCCATACTTTGTGGGTGTTTTTTGATTATTGAATAAATCATTTGTTGAAAAATATGACCAGTAAAGGTAAATTCAAACGGGTCACCATACGGGTACAGGTTAAGATGGTGATTTGTCCGGTTTTGTGTCCACTGAGTGGTCAAAGGAAAGATATGAGTAAAGTTTGAATATTAAACTTTTTTTGTCACAGAACTTAAGATATTTATAATTTTTTACATAAATGCAAATTGAAATTTTAAGATTTACCAACACAAAAGTTAGATTCTAGACAGTGGTCGATATGGTTTGTGACAAAACGGGTCGGGTTATCATCAGTGGCAGAGCTACCTATCCAGGGAAGGAGATTCAATTGAATCTTTTATGTTCAAAAATTAAAAAGGACAATCCGGGTGCACTAAGCTCTCGCTTTGCGCGGAGTCCGAATAGTGGCGAAGCCAGAATTTATTCAAGGGTGTTCAAACTTGAAAGAAGTAAAAAAAATCGCCGAGAAAAAGTGTTCAATATATGTCATATATCTCTAAAATCTAATATTTTACCTATATGTGCAGTATAATTTTCCGACGAAGGGTGATTAGTTGACCACCCTTTATAACATGTAGCTTCGCCCATGGGTCCGGGGAAGGGCCGGACCACAAGGGTCTATCGTACGCAGCCTTACCCTACATTTCTGAAAGAAAACGTTTCCACGGCTCGAAAGCTGTGTAAAAAATTACACCGTATAAATAGAGTTCCATAATTGTTTTTTTTAGTGAACGATACACACAACATTAAAGTAACTAGTATTAGTATACGTGTGTTGCACGTGTGTATAGTGTCTATTAATTAAAAATATATACATTGACGTTAATATAAAATGTGATATTTGTTTAAATGATGAAAATAATATTCAATAGCTTTTGAATATGCATAGATTATTCAAACCTAAACATAACATATTTAAATAGACATAACCACCATAAAGACATATGCTAGTCTCTGGTATTATGTGGTTATCCTCGGGCCATAGTCACATAGTCTCTATAAATAAACAGAGTTGATAGATATTTAATTATTTTTAATTCAAATTAAAAAAAGTAACTAATTAATAACTAACCTAACTAATTTTATCCTAAAATTGACACTTGTTGAATTTTTGTTGTTACACTTGGCATCATAACATTGATTTACTTCTCTTGTTCTTATATAGATAGATTTTCCAAAAATACATAGATATTTAATTATTTTTAATTCAAATTAAAAGAGAGTAACTAATTAATAACTAGCCTAACTATTTTTCTCATAAAATAGTCACTTGCTGAATTTTTGTTGTTACACTTGGCATCATAAATAATTTATTATTTATGTTTTTATCTTTAGTTTATTATAATATATTTAGTTACATGACCTTATTCATATAACATAATCATATGAATTATTATTCAAAAACTATCTCATCTCAGAAAACAAATCAGTTTTATGATTTTATATATCTATACATTGAAGTTATTAATTTATATATATTTTTCTCTTTTTCTAATAATTTTCCAAAATATATATAGATATCCAATTATTTTTAATTCAAATTAAAAAAGAGTAACTAATTAATAACTAACCTAACTAATTTTATCCTAAAATAGACACTGAAAATGATAAATCTTTAAATTCTATTTATGCTATAATGAAATAGAATTTCATTTGCAGAAGTTGCAGTAAATAAACATTTTTAGCCTATAATGTTTTAGTGGAGCCAAAATTATTTAAAAACAATTAATACACATACATAAATAAAAGTGATTATTGATCTGTTGTAATATGTTAAAATATGCAGCTTGAAGTGAATTTTGCCAAGGAAACTACTACAGGCTAATAGTAATTTTACCTGAATTTTCTTCTTCATATATATTATTATTTCTATGATTTGATTTTGACCCATGTAAAGCATTATATTTGCTAAATCTCCGAATGACATAAGAAACATTGCCTTGATCCATACATATAGAAAGAAATATATTTTTTTTTTAAAATTAATGCCGCAATTAACAAAATTATAAAGAACATAATTTGTTAATTATGTTCATCTATTTCAATTGCAGCAATTTTTTTTAACTTCCTGGATCTCCTTCGCAATAAATCGTCTTCCATCTCGATCGCTGCCATTTTTGGAATCAATTTTTGACAAGAAAGGTGAACTCTTTTCCCCGACTCAACGCCAATTTGCGATAAAATTTGGATTCTTCTTTCTATACAAAAAAGAGTAAATTAGTTAAGATTGGATAAGGTATTCAAACCACATAAATATCATTAATTTGTATATTTTGTGATGGTGAAATCAAGAGATAATATGGCCTTTTGAGATATTGATTGTATATACGTTGTAACATCACAACCAAGCAAGTATCTTGTAGATTCAAACAGTGTAACATAACAATATTCTTTCTTATCAAACACCTCAAGCTTTAGAATATATCTACAAATTCACACATAATCAAACAATTAGCTCATTTATTGATATGTGAAAATATAGAGAAAGAATTGAATTTTTTTATGTGTTTTACCTTTCCTGGTAATCAACATTCTCGACGCCACAACGATGACATTTTGCAATATTATTTATAACGTCCACTTTCTTTTAACATTTCTTGCAAGAAGAATACCATGGTTCGTCTTTATTCATTATATCTTTTATTCTTGTATTAAATTTAAAATATGTATCCTGCAAATAAATATATAAAAAATAGGTTAGATAGGACACTTTTAAAAAGTATAAATATTAAGTAGTTGGAAGAATTTACCTCTTTATTGTCAAATGAATCATCTTTGATGTCCTCAATCTTTACTTCCCGAGCATTTTTCAGTTGTGTACTTGGCAATAAACTATTATCTATGTTTTTTGCCTTCTTGTAGTCATGTATGCATATTGTGTAATTAGTAAATAATAATAACTATATTTTACTATGATTGCTTAAACTTAAAAAAAAACTAAGCAAATATTATCAGTTTTGGAGAGCTACCGCCTCTTCAAACTTTGGATTTATCATTATACTAGTAACGTATGTAGTAGATATTGAAAAATTTCCTTCACAGATAAAAAAGAGGTTAAATATAATAAAAGATTTTGCAATTTATAAAAAATACCAAAGTTCTTGATATATTACCTCTATATGATGTTTTCCAAACATCACATGCCGCAACAACAGATTTTTCATCAATCAATTTTTGTAGCACTTGACCGTCTATCTCTGAGAAATCATTTCATAAGGTTACAACCTTTCTATCAACTCTGAAATTTATAATTAAATATATTAAACCATTAATATCTTAATTACGAAGAAACATTTAACATATTGAACTAAAACTACCAACTTACATCTCGTTGACAAGCACTATCTCCCTTCGTTTCTTTGAACCTTCTCCCGTAGAGGGTTTAACATCCACTAAAATTCCAACTATATCTAGAAAGAATATCAAAACAATTATATGTATATTACCCAAAAATTAATAAGGAGAATAGAAATAAAATATTGTTTGTATATTTAGTGAAAGATTACGGGATGAAATCTAAACTACTTACCAAAAATTGTTTCATTGGTGCACTTTGATGCCTCATCGAATGAAATAAAATTATTTGAAAAACCAATGGTCGAAAAGTGACTATTGCTTTCTTCAACTAACGTATTTTTCTTAAATCTAATCTCAAGCTCCTTGTGCACTGATTGAAAATTAGGATTAGCACTATTGATGCGTCCGTTTATGATATAACAGATCTTGTTTTGTTGTAAATAGTTTTTCTACAACTCAATATAACCATTGAAATGTGTAGCGTTAATTTTTTTTCCCTGCAAAAAATTTCACTGTAAGTTAATCTGATGGTTAAAACTATATTATGAAAAGACATGAAATAAAATATTGATATAAAATAACAATTACCTCTTTGTCAACTAATGTCACAATTTTTCGGGTGCTTTGATTTGTTTTATTGTTAAACTCTTTTACTATTCCACTCCCAAACACTAACACTCGTATTACCCAACATGAAACAGATACTCTTAGACTATTAATTGGGACACATTGGTATAACAATTCATTTTCACTGGCCATTACAAGTGTACCAAAAATAAAGCATGCATAAGAATTTTACAAGTTATCAAAGTGACTAATTCAATAATTGATTATTTTTATGATATAAGGAAGATTGTTTACCTAAACGGATGTAATTGTTGGAATATGAGTGATTCAAGTATGGAAATTGCAATAACGCAAATCATGTAGTATTAATATAACACAGAATTAAAGCAGATAATCTAATTTTTAATTATTTTTAAAAGGCAAAATACATAAGTTACCCCCCGTACTATGACCCAAATCCCTGTTACACACTTTCTAGGAACGAATATTACTTTACACACCCAACCTTTCTAAAGTGTATCTAATACATACTACTTGCCCACGTGGATAGTGCGTATTTTTCCCAATAAATAAGTCGCGTGAACAGAAGAATTTTGTGTCAAATGTCTATTTTTTTAGTTTTTTAAAATTTTAAATTGAGTCATCTTCTTCCTACTTTAAAATTCTGTCATAGCTACTCCTTGAGCTCCACCACCCGATCTCCTTCTTCTCAAATAGATATACCACGATTTCTTATATCTCTTCTTGTTGTAGAGAAGCTTAACTTGAGCTTTACCCATGGCGAAATCAAATTTTCAATAAGCGAGAATTTTTCGAAATTTTTTCCAACCATTAAAGCTTAGCTCAAGATTTTGCACATTCTTTAATTATATTAATGGATGATTTTTTAAATAGTTGACTTGTGGCGATGACAGTTAATGGTGGTCGAACTTTTACAGAAGTGAAATGAAAAATGAGTTGGATCTGGGCTCAAAAATTTTGATTCAATTTCAGCGAAAAAGATGGAGTTTTGGGTGTATTTTCTGGTGATTTTTGTTAGTTAATGGTGACTTTGTTATTAAGTAAAAGGTGGAGGAAGAAGCTATAGTGTTTGATGGTAAGAGAGGAGGAAGACGGCCATGGTAGTTTAGATGAGGAAGATGAGGGGTATAATTGTAATTTTAATTTTTTATATTTTTTTTAAATGACACTTGTCACTGTTTGATTAGTGCATGATATTGCACATATTCTGAAAAACTGGTCAAGAAAAAAGTGGTGTGTCTTAGCTACACTTTGGAAAGGTTGGGTGTGTAAAGTAATATTCGTTCCTAGAAAGTATGTAACAGGGATTTGGGTCATAGTTCGGGGGGTAACTTATGTATTTTGCCTTTTTAAAACAAGCAACTTGAGCTGGCATAGCAATTATAAGTATTATTAATTATACAACAAAGGAAATAAATAATACTAATATTTAAGTGATAAGACTCAGAACGAATGTTTAACCGATTTTCTGTGATGAATTGCAATTCTTCAATAACCTGTACTAAATTTGTAAATTAAGCGAGATGTGAAATTAGCCAAGTCAAAAACATGAAACAAAAACTATATAATAAAAAATTATTGATGCAACACTACAAACTGGTGCATGCAAATGTGCTTGCAAAATACGAAGTAGCAAAAGATGTTGATATTAGTAAAAGAAACAACACCTGAAATTGCGATGTTGGAATAGGGAGAATTTTGATGATTAAATTGTGACATTATAGCTCCTTTTATAGAAGTATCATGGTACACAATTTGACACATGAAAGGAATTATATAAAGTAAATTTGTGTGCAGGTCAAAGATATAAGAAAAATTTACCAAATAATAAAAACTTCTACCAAAATATTTTCTTGTGTCGTCCAGCAAGTCAAATTCTTTAAACACTTTCCTTGTGCAACGGAACCACAATAATGATGGTTCCATTTTACCCGTGCATTAAACTTTCCTTGAGCAATTTCACAATAAACTTTTCTTGTGCAATAGTAGAAATTTTTTATTACCAAATAATTAAGGCAACATAATAACTCATTTAATATTCCAAAGAGTAAAGAGAATCTATTATTTAATGAGAGTGAAAGTTTAGGTTTTGTTAAGTTTCCTTGGGTAAGAAACGTGACAAAATATGAGAGTGAAAGTTTAGGAATTTTTTTTTTGTTAAGTTTCCTTGGGTAAGAAACGTGACAAAATTCAACCAATTAATTAAGGCAAAGTTTAATAACAAATATTGAAGAAATATTTACCAAAAAATCTGAAAACTAAATTAATTAAGTGAATATTTTTAAATATTTATGAAATACTTAAATTACTATATTGTCCTATGGGAACTTTATATTTTAAAAGGTAAAAAATGCGAACGATATTTTGCTAAAGGCCTTCCTGCTTTTAATATAATATAGATAGATTCGTGTGACGTTAAATATCACTTGTTATAAAAGTTATATATTTTACCTTATCTCAATTTGATATTCAATCACTAAAGGGTTGGAATTATATTGCTCTACCATTTCTAACTTTATAATCTGTAACTTTGAAAATGTGAAGCTCTTATAGTTTTTCTAATTTAGTTGGTTGAAGGAAGAGGCAATGTAATCACTCTTCTAAGTTAAGATAAAAAAAATTGTTTGTTTTTTTTCTTCACAAAAGAGGTGAGTAATAAGAACTTGTTTGGATTAGCTGATTTGAAGTAGCTGATAGGCATTAAGTGCTGAAATTAATTTAATAAATAAGCAGTTACGTGTTTGGGTACAAATGCTAAAATTGATAATAAGTTATTGCAATATTTGATAAAACGGATAAGGGCTAGATGTGTCCCTCTACTATCAGAAATTAGTTATAAGTAGCCTCCATTATACTATTCGAAACGGCAGGGACAAAAACCTTCGAATGGTATAACGGATGCTACTTATGACTAATTTCTGATAGTAGAGGGGCATATCTAGCACTTTTACGTTGATAAAAAGTGTTGATAAGCTCTTTTTCTATTAAAATAACTTAAATAACCTTAGAACTGTTTATAAGGGCGTAATTTCTTTAAAATTTTAGATTCCAGATCAATTCAAATACAAAATATTCTATTTATCATTTTATTTTAAATACAATTGTGCTTAGATAAGATAATTTTTATAATAAATATAATTTATTTTATGATAAGCATATAATCATAAGTCATAATAATTAATAAATTGACAAAAATTTCTCACTAAAAATAAACATAAATAGGATAAAATATTTGAAGAGAAACAAATATTGTTTTCATCACCACAACACTTAAAAGCAATACATCAAAAATTTGATATGTCCTCATTTATTACATACAGTTCAAAGATTAATACACAATCACATAGATATAAATATGCAAAGGAAGAGAGATTTGCTTATCTTAAATAGTCAATGAGAATTGCGGACTTGAAAGGTTGAAAAAAAATACTTGAGGCGATAAGTATCGATGTGGGAGTTTTATTCTAAAAAGGAATATTTTAAGGATAAAATAGTAAAAATCTTGATCAAACTTAAAGTGCTTATAAGCTAAAAATTCATAAGCTGGGGATGACTAGCTTATGACTTTTGGCTTATTTTTGACTTATAAGCACTTTTAACTTTACCAAACGCGTAGATAAGCCGAAAAATACTTATAAACTAGTTTGACCAGCTTATAAGCTTAGCCAAACACCCTCTAAGTCTATGAATATAGAAGTTCAACAACGTTTTAATCTTTTAATTTCAAGGTTTCACATAGTAGTAACCGTTTGGCCAAAACACCGCAGTAATTTTTATGTTTCCTACATTGCCCTTGGAGTAATTAATGTTGAAATATGTATTAGNAATTCAATTATTATTATTATTATTATTATTATTATTATTATTATTATTATTATTATTATTATTAGGCTTGCGTTTTGCTGGCGTGGAATTACAATAGGAAGTTGATTAAGGAAGTTTGAATAGTTTGTGGTTTTGTGAAACTAAATTGTGATATATGATGAAACGGGGATTACATGAGCTGTCAATATCTGTTAATTGAAATAGAATAGGAGTAGAATATTTGTTATTATATTTTGTTAAATGGGATATGTATTTGTACACGTAGGAGTTAGTTTGTTAGTTAAAAGGGAGATGTGTATATAGGGAATTAGTTAGGCAATGTAACAATACTTCTTCTTCATTAATTTCAGAAATACAGAGCTAAGCTCATTTTTCCTCTCTTCTCTCAATTCTGTCAAAATAGGGTTCTTCAGTTGATTCACATAAATCGTCATGGTATCAGAGCTTCAAATCCTGATTGCGAATCGAATCTAAAGATCCTGGTGAATCCACAGTAACCTCAACCTTGAATCACAGCTTGAGAGTAAGAGTCAACCATGGCGGCACAAACAAATCTTGACCACAATCACCCTCTATTTCTTCACCCATCGGATACCACCGGAGCTCCGATTATCTTGATTCAGTTGACTGGTTCAGAAAATTACTCCACCTGGAGTCGTGCGATGGAGATCCAACTGTTAGGAAAGAACAAGCTAGGTTTGATCGACGACACTCTGAAAAAGGGGGATTTTGATGCAAGACTAGGTCATCAATGGCATAGGTGCAATGCAATTATCCTTAGGGTGGATTATGAGCTCAGTATCAAGAGAATTGATTACTGGCATACCATATGCGAGGAATGCGAGAAAGGTGTGGGAAGATCTGAAAGAACGATTCGATAAGTTAAACACATCGCGAGTCTAGCAATTGCAAAAGGCCATATCAACAATAACTCAAGGAACAGACAATGTCTCAATGTATTTTTCCAAACTCAAAAATATATGGGATGAATTTGACAGTATGGTTCCTCCTCCATGTGGATGTGCTAGATCGAAGAACTTCATTGAGTTTATGGAAAAGCATAAGGTGCCGAAGTTCCTAATGGGTCTAAATGACAATTATGAGCAGGCTCGTAGTCAAATTTTTATGACTAGCCCAACGCCAAGTATCAATAAGGCATATTCAATGTTTATTGAGAGGGAAACTCAAAGATCAGTGGCTAATACTTCTACTGTGGGTGAAGGAGTAGATTTAGCTGAACTGCTAGCTGGTAAAGGAGGAAATTATCAGAATTATCAAAAACAAAAGAGAAACTGGAATGTGCAATGTGATTTTTGTCACATGAAAGGTCATACAAAAGAAGGATGCTACAAGATAATTGGTTATCCTCAAGATTTCAAAACTAAGAAGAAAGGGAGCACAAACACTGCATATAATGTCCAGGTTGAAAATTTTAATCCTAATCTTGCAGGTGTTGATGATAAAAGAGGAGAGATACCAGAAACATAAAGGAAGAAATTGGCAAAGAGCACCACAACTCAAATCAGATTAGTATGATCAGATCATGAAGTTACTCAACAAAGACACTCCAAAGGATGTGATGGCAAACATGGCAGGTACAACTTATTCCTTTATGGCTAATATGTCAAAAGGCAGTTGGATAGTTGATACAGGAGCAACAAACCATATGGTAGCAAATTTAGGGATGTTAACAAATGTTAAAAACATTAGTCCTACTAGAGACAAAATAGTTCATTTACCTAATGGAGAATGTACAATTGTGTCACATGTTGGGAATTGTAAAATCACAGAAATAGGGGAAATGCAAGATGTATTGTATGTCCCAGAGTTTGCATACAATCTTCTTTCAGTATTAAAGATAACAAGGGACTTACATTGTTTTGCCTCTTTCTATCCTGACTTGTGCTTGTTCCAAGACCTCTCAAATGGGAAAGTGAGGGGGATTGGTAAAAAGAAAGATGGACTCTTTTTGCTAGTACCAAGAGCTTCCTTAAATACTGATAACAATGTACCAACAGTCAAAGGGTTGAATGTTCAGACAACTAAGGAGGATATATCTCTGTGGCACAAAAGATTAGGACATGCATCTGGAGGATCATTGAAGGAGCTTCTGGGATATAAATTGGAGGATTGCAAGTGTGTAATAGATAGTTGTAATATTTATCCAATGGCTAGACATGTGAGGCAGTTATTTCCATTGAGCAGTACTAGAACTACTAAAATCTTTCAACTGTTGCATTTAGATATATGAGGACCTTGTACTTTTCCAACCTTTGATGGTAATAAGTTCTTTCTCACAGTTTAGATGATTACTCTTGTATAACTTGGATCTTTCTCTTGCAATTTGAGAATGATGTTATGATTGTTTTTAAATCATTCCTTAAGCTAATACAGACATAGTTTAATGGAATAGTACAAACAATTAGAAGTAATAATGGTGGAGAGTTTGTAAACTCAGCTATGCAGGACTTACACACATCTATAGGGATAGTTCACCAGAGAACATGTGTCTACACACCACAACAAAATGGTGTGGCTGAAAGAAAGCATAGACACTTGCTTGAAGTTGCAAGAGCTTTCAAATTTCAAGGTCATATCCCTATAAAGTTTTTGGACCATTGTGTTCTGGTTGCAGCCTATGTTATTAACAGGCTACTATCACAAACACTCAGTGGTAAGTCACCATAAGAATTGTTCTTTGGTAGGAAACCTTTCATTTCTCATTTGAACACACTAGGATGTCTTTGCTTTGCAAGTGCACTACCCAAAGCAGACAAGTTTGCCAGTAGAGCTTTGTTTATGGGATATTCTAGTGTCAATAAAGGGTACATACTGTATGATTTGGATAAGGACAAGTTCTTTATCTACAGGGATGTGGTGTTCAAGGAGTCTATATTTCTTTTTCAAGATATAGCTGATGGTCTTAGGGACCAAATCAGGCCTTGTATTCCTAGTACTGCTAATGATGCTTATAGTTTTGAAGGTGGAAATATAGATGGCCCTGCTGCTACAGCCACAGAACAGCTAGATGTCTCTAATGGCAATGCAGAATACATTATACAATATGCAACGGATTTACAGAATTCAGACAGTTTTACACAAGATTTGCAAAGTTTAGACAACATCTTGCATGCTGCAAATCAATACAATGCCACTGAAGTCCAAGACTCAGAGGCCATCACCTCAGAGATTCTTGATTCTCATGCGGCACAGACACATCCTAACACTCTAAGAAAATCACAGAGGGAACCTAAAGAACCAGTTTGGTTGACAGATTATGTAACCACAAGGAAGACATGCAACACTGCCTTATACCATATCCACAATTATGTTACATATGCTAATCTTTCTACTTCTTATCAGGCATACTTGGGTATATTCTCCTCGGTTGTTGAGCCTAGGACTTTTCAGGAAGCTTCTAAGGATCCAAGATGAGTAGAAGCTATGCAGATGAAATTCAAGCTCTACAGGCCAACAACACTTGGGAACTAGTTCCACTGCCTCAAGGGAAAATAGCTATAGGTTGTAAATGGGTCTACAAAGTCAAGATTAAGGCTAATGGTGATGTGGAGAGATTAAAGACAAGGTTGGTAGCCAAAGCCTACAATCAGAGAGAGGGTCTTGACTACAATGAGAGCTTCTCACCTGTAGTGAAAATTACCACTGTGAGAACAATCCTTTCTTTGGTGGCTATGCATAATTGGCCAGTCCAACAATTAGATGTCTACAATGCCTTCTTGCAAGGAGACTTACATGATGAGGTCTATATGCATCTACCACAGGGTTTTACAAGTCAGGGGGACTCTAGATTGGTTCGTCGACTTGTAAAATCTCTATATGGTCTAATACAAGCAAGCAGACAATGGAACTTAAAGCTGACAGAGGCATTGGTGCAGGCTGAGTTCAAGCAAAGCAATTTAGACCATTCATTATTCATCAAGAAATAAGGAGCAGATATAGTGGTGATACTAATATATGTTGATGACATGTTGGTTACACGAAATAATTTGGAGCTGATTGAAACCACCAAAGCTTTCTTGCAGCAGGCTTTTAAGATCAAAGACTTGGGTGAACTGAAGTTTTTTCTTGGCATGGAGTTCAACAGATCCAACAAGGGTATTCTGATAAATCAGAGAAAGTATGCATTGGAAATAATTTCAAACATGGGACTAAGTGGAGTAAAACCAGCCTGGACACCTTTAGAGACAAATATCAAGCTGGCAGTTCCGGAACTGGACAAGCTGATGGGCATAACAAAAGATCAAATGTTGGCAGATGTAGGTCAATATTAGAAGCTTATTGGGAATTTATTGTACCTAACTATGTCCAGACTAGATATTGCATTCTCAGTACAAACCCTCAGCCAATTTATGCAGTAGCCAAAGAAGTTTCATTGGGATGCAGCCATAAAAGTAGTGAAATATATTAAAATGGAACCAGGACTGGGAATCTTGTTGAGCAGTCAAAATTCAAGTGAAATCAATGTTTTTTGTGATGTTGATTGGGCCTCATGTCCTAACACTAGAAAGTCAGTGTCAAGATACCTAATCAAGCTTGGAGAATCACCAGTTTCATCGAAGTCAAAGAAGCAAAACACAGTTTCAAAAAGCTCAGCTGAAGCTGAATACAGAAGCATGGCAAGTGCAGTTTCAAAGGTTGTTTGGCTAGCAACATTACTAAAGGAGCTGGGAACAGAGGTGAAACTCCCAGTAAATGTACATAGTGATAGCAGAGCTACAATGCAAATAGCAGCAAATCCAGTGTTTCACGAATGAATAAAGCATATAGAGATCGACTGTCATTTCATTAGACAGAAGATACACGAGGGACTAGTGAAAACTCAATACGTACCTTCAAGGGACCAGTTGGCAGATGTTCTAACGAAGGGATTAGGAAGACCACAACATGAGTGTCTAATTGGCAAGCTGGGAGTGCTCAATGTCTTTGCACCTACCAGCTTGAGGGGGAGTGATGAAATGGGGATTACATGAGTTGTCAATATCTGTTAATAGAAATAGAATAGGAGTAGAATATTTGTTATTACATTTTATTAAATGAGATATGTATTTGTACACATGGGAGTTAGTTTGTTACTTAGAAGGGAGATGCGTATATAGGGGATTAGTTAGGCAATGTAACAATACTTCTTCTTCATTAATTTCAGAAATACAGAGCTAAGCTCATTTTTCCTCTCTTATCTCAATTCTGTCCAACTAAGGTTCTTCAGTTGATTCCCATAAATCTTCAATATAGAGGCCTACAGTGAATTGTTACTTTGTTAATTTGTTATTGGGTTATGTTCTTTTTCTTTCCTTTAACTTTTGTGACACCTTTTGCTCCATGTTATAGTATGGTTTCAGCAGAGGCTGCCCCTAATTCCTATAGCGTGCAACGAAAATTTTCAGCAAGTATGTGTGGCTTCTGCTTTTCTGTGATTATGCGTTAAAACAATTTGTCAATTTCTTTTAACTGACAGCTCTAACTACATATTCTTCTTTTAATTTAAGGGAAGTTTAGTAACCACATTGCCCATGATGTCACAAAGTTTAATATTTCTCTTCTTCAACTATGTCTCATTGATGTCAGCGCAAAATTATGTTACCTTTATAAAATGGCAAAAATACATAAACAAATATTTGAAGTTGGGCTCCAACTGTCAGTTGAACACTCCAACTTACCTAATGATCATTGATCTCAACTTGACGCAAGTGCATCTCGTGAACCTCTCCGCTGACATGGCAAAATATTTATTTTCCCTGCAACATGAAGGCCCTTATAATTATACTTATTTTTTTCACAGGAACCCCACTATCTCTTAACCCAATTTTATTCTCTCTCTCTCTTCCAAAAAATATAATACAATCCACTCAATCCAATTAGTTGTATTTTATATATCAGGATAGAAATTTATAGAACATTAGGCTTTAGATAACAGTAAAAGAGGGAGAGGTTTGGATGAATTAGAAAGGAAGAGGAGGGAGTGGAAAGAATTGAAGCAAGGGCTTTTTTAATAAGTATATATATTTTTGTACACATATCATTTTTCTATTTGTTTGGAATTCGGCGTAAGAAGAAGTAGAAAATGGGCCACAGGGGAGAGGTCTCTTTTAACATTTTTTTTTTGGTTGGTAATTAGTCAAATTTTATTTACCAAGGGGAAAAATATGTTAAAAAAAGCAAAACCCTTAAAGCTGGACAGCCCCAACTATAGCACAACTATCTCCTTAACCTCCCCCATCGCTTTTTACAACATGTTTCCAAGCAGACCTAGGGGTAATAGTTCATTTTTCTCAAAACTTCAGCTATCCTACTATTCCATTGTCCGCTTCCATGTAAGTCTTGTATTATCAATTTGCAGAGGCATGCAACACTTCTTTATTTGCCCAAGAAAGTCCTTTGGTTCCTCTCTTGCCACAGATAGTATATACAACCAGCCATCACCATCCTAAATATGACAGCTTTGGCATTTTTTCCTTTAGCATAATTGATTGCCCAGTTAACTTCTTGACTCCATCCCATAGGTAATCTGTTGATGCCTTGGCAGTTGAGTTTGGTCCACAATTCTGTAGAGAACTTGAAGTTGAAGAACATATGTTCTATGGATTTATCTTTAGTGTTGCATAGAGGACACTCTAAGTTTGTTACTACACCCCACTTAAGTAGCCTGTCTGTCGTATATATTCTCCCAAGAGCTACCAGTTGCAAGATAAAAGTCCATTAGTTGCATCCGGGATTATTACACACTAGTCTTCTCCAGCTAATCTTGTGGAAGTCACCTCATAACCTGTGATAGAACTTCTTAACTTCATATGTATAGCCAGCAGTTTTGACAGTCTCATTTGCCTTAAACATCTTGATCACCATCCAAGAAGCATTTCAATGTTTAACCTCTCACAAGTGATTGATCTTCACATAGTAGTTATGGATTCACTTGATCCATAATCTGTCTTTTTTCTTGTATAAATCCCAAAAGTGTTTGCATATAGAAGCCTTATTCCATATATAGATATCAATCACATTAAAACCTCCAATTGATTTGGGATAACATATTTTGTTCCGTGAAACTAATGCCTTCCTGGTTATCTCATTTCCTCCAGTCCAGAGAAATCTTTTACACACAACTTCAATTTGTTGTATCAATTTGTTGTATGATTTTTTTGGCATGATAAATATCTGGCACCGAAACGTTTACATAGAGAAAAAGAACACTTTTATCAGTTGTAGCCTTCCCACATAGGACAAAAATTTTGAAGTCCATGAAGTGATCAGTTAAATTTTATTTTTTCCTCAAAATTACACGTATCATTTTTCTATTTGTTACTTTACCATGTCATTGGCGAGTGCAACTCACGCTTGAGGTCTATCAGATCTAGGTGTGCACACGGTACACTTACGGAAACGAAAGGTGTCTAAATGATCGTTAGATAAGTTGGAGTGTTCAACTAGGGCTATGCATAATTTGGTAAATATCGAATTACCGTACCGAAACAGAAAATTTGTGTATTCGGTACTTTGCTGAAGAAGAAATAACCCTATACTTTATATCTACAAATTTTAAACAGAGTGAGAAGTCATATACTTTGTAGTCAAATAGTGATCAAATGGAGTGAAGAAATCAAGACGCTGCTGTTCACAGCTAAAATGGAACAATCATGACACTTTGTTTCAGCTTCAGTAAAAACTCAGCTCAATCGGAAGGGTCGAGTCAGATACAAAAGATCTGAACCAACCAGATCTAGAATATACAGGATTTCAGAAATAAAGAGTGCTAAATCTTACCAAAGCCGATGAATCTATAAAGATCTGAACAAAAAACTCGAGCATAATCATGAGCAGGTTAATCGAAGAGAGAAATCCACAGCCCGTTGAATCTAAGAGTGGATCTGTGTATTTTGTTGATTGAAAGGAAAGAAGAGAAAGGAAATGATAAAGGAATAATGTAGAATGCTCCATTTTAAAGGGTGAGATAGGGAAGAGGGAAAAGTAAAGTAACGGGTCAATTCCAAGAGCAAATAAATACTAGCACTGAACTCGATTTCCAATTAGTTTACTATAGGAGTAGTTTATTGTAGAATATTGTAAATACCTAACTCCGCGTGGAAAAAAATTAATTTTGTTTAACTGAAAATAATATTTGAAATTAGAGTTGTGTTTGGATATAAATATAATTTTGAATTTTTTGAATGATCTGCATGAAAATTTTGAAAATTAATTTTTTAAAATTTTTAAAACTTTTGAAGAATTCTAAAATTCACTTTCAAGTGATAAATTGAAAATTTTATGATCAAATAATAATTTTAAAAGAAAAAGTAAATATTTCGAAGTAAAAAAAAAAAAAAAAAAAAAAAAAAAAAAAAAAAAAAAAAAGACCAAACGGGCTCTAAGTTTGTACACATATATTTGCCTAAAAAAAAGTTTGTATACAGACTCCAAAGGTTAGGGTAATTCTTATCTCGATTGTTACTTCCATTTAAACATAATTCCCTCCTCGTTCCTCTCAAATTGTATTGAAGAAATCATAAATACATATTTCACACCTCCTTTTTCCGCCCCCGCGAGGGGTGAAGGAGTTTTTCCAATTAAAGGACAATCGAAACGGGATTTGTTTATTTGTTTCAGAGTCGCCACTTGGGAGATTTAGGGTGTCCCAAGTCACCAATTTAATCCCGAATCGAGGAAAAGAATGATTCTGTTCTGCGAACCAGAAATTCGGATAAGGAATTCTGTTAACCCGGGAGAAGGTGTTAGACATTCCCGAGTTCCGTGGTTCTAGCACGGTCGCTCCAGTGTCATATTCGGCTTGATTATCTGATTTAATACATTTTTGAACCTATGTGCGAATTTTAACTTTTAACCGCTTTTGTCATTATTATTATTATTATTATTATTATTATCAAGAATTGCAACATCGTGGAAACACATCTCGAACCACGTCACAATCAATGCACCCGTGGTTGTTGGCATATTTCAACTCCGCTGAGATTTGGATTTGGGTCACCTAAACGTGCACCCGAGTTTAAGATTGTAATTTAATTAAATCGTGTCTAAAGAGTCTAACGCGTTATTATCTTTGGGGAAGGCAGTGAAATTCACTAAACAGTCCATCCCAAATTCTAAGTATTTATTATGACCAATTATTGAGGGCCCCGCAATTTGCATCTTTTTATTTGACGAGGCTCGTCTCATTATTTTTAAAAGGATAATCTTAGCATGAATATATTTTCTATTTTTCGTTTTCTAAAGTAAATGAAGAAAAGGTCCTACTTTATTTATATACTTTCGAGTTATTATAGTTAAGTTTCGAAAGTGAGTCGTTTAAAGAGTTTGCATGGGTGTAAGCACATGATTTTTGCCCTATATGAGAATTACTCCCAAAAAATTCAAAATAAAATGATTTTCCTTGGTGTGCAATTTTGAGTATTTTTGTGACATTTTTGGATAATTATTTGTATTTGTCTGTGCATGTTTATTTGTTAAATTAATAAAAAATATAAAAATATGTCACATTTTGCATGTAGGATTTAATTCTACAATTTGTTAGTAATTAAGTTTGTTTACAAAAAATGAAGTACAAAAATAGGCATCTTTTACATTTTTAGCATTTAATGTCCAAATATACAATTTTATGCTTAATTATTACTTAATTGTGCGTTAATTGTTATTGGGAGTTAATTTGCGCTTTTATAACTTGATTTAGTTCTTAATAATAATTTAAGTATTTTTATAATTTAGTTTTAGAAAAATAAAAGAAGAAAAGAGAACAAAAATACAAAGAAAATCGGATTGGGCCACTTCTTCAATTTTCAAACCACATGCCCAAATAATTGCCCAACCTTCCCCATGACCCGGTCCATCTTCACACGGGTCGACCCGGTCCGCCCCATTAACCCCAAAATGACCTAACCCTTCCTAATCTTCAT